AGAAGCAAGCAGAGACACATGGGAACCTCATACCACCAAGAAAGCAGTGTCAGGAGCAGAGCACGTCCTTTGGACCTGAGGTTCCTGCGCAGAGAAGCTCCCAGACCAAGGGAAGACTGATGACATGGACCTTCGTCCAGAGAAAGCGTTCATCTGGAACTGACACCCTGAATTTGGACTTGTAGCCTACTGGACTGTGAGAGAATAAACTTCTCTTTGTTAAAGCCATCCACTTGTGGTATTTCTGTTAGAGCAGCACTAGATGACTAAGATGCTAATTCACAGAAGAGAAATACAGTTGGCTAATAAACATATGAATCGGAGAAATGCAAATTCCAACAAGAAACTTTTTTTTAACCATAGATTGGATCAACCTTACAAATACAAGTTAAAACGAGATATCCTTTTTTTGTTTGTTTGTTTTTTTGCTTATCAGAGTGGCCAAAATGTGAAAGACTGATAATGCTAATTGTTGTTGAAGGTGAGGAAAACAGGTACTTTTATGTATTGTTGGTGGGAATGGAAATTGGTCCACCTTTTTTGGAAATTTGACGGAACCTATAAAATTTTAAGAGGGCAGTGGTGGTTCAGTGGTAGAATTCTTGCCTTCCACGCTGGAGACCTTGGTTTGACTCCCGGCCAGTGTACCTCAAGCACAGCCACCACCTGTCTGTCAGCAGAGGCTTGTGTGTTGCTGTGATGCTGAATAGGTTTCAGCAGAGCTTCTGGACTCAGACTAGGAAAAAAGTCCTGGCGATCTACTTCTGAAATCAGCCAATGAAAACCCTATGGATCCCAGCAGTCTAATCTGCAGCCAGTCATGGGCAGTGTTTTGTTCCATTGTGCATGGGGTCACCAGGAGTCAAGAGCAGACTAGATGGCAGACAACCACAACAAAGCGTAAAGTTTTAAATGGCACATAGCCTTCAATTCCATTTCTCGTCTTGCAGGCCTCTCTGTATGGCTTCTCACCATCAGGTAGCCTAGTCTGAACTTCTTTACATTGTGGTGCCAGGCTTCCAAGGAGGTGAAAGAGAAGCTTCCAGGTCTCTTCATGGCCAGGCTGAGACCGCGCCCAGTAGAACTTCCACCACATTCTGTTATCCCAAGCAGGTCACGGGCCAGCCTAGATTCAAGGGAGGGAGTCTAGCTCATGATGGAAAGAATTATTTATTAGCAGCTATATTTTCAGACACACTAGCACATAGGTAGGTAGAGTAAAACATATTCCTTCATGTAGGATCTCTTAAGTGTTTATATGTTTATATAAATTTCACAATATTCTTTTGTTCTGTTCCACATTTGCTCCCTGACTTAGGCCATGTGACTAGTCTGTTTTCTAATTTTTTTTCTTGTGGTCTGTGGATGAGTTATGTGAACAAACAAAAACACACAGTAGAATCCCACCATAGCACAGTAAGTGGAGTTCAAAAATTCAATTTTTTAAACCCTGGCGTTATGTTATTGTGAAGTTATTTAAAAACAGTGTTTTATCAGTGGGTGGTATTGTCATAAAATTAAAGATTGTGAAACTTTCACTGTGCACAGTTGATCTTACACTGGACTGAGGAAATCCCAAGTGATCCTGAGGCAGCTGCTTACATACACACAAACTCGAGAATTTTATCCCACCCCAGTTTGAGAACAGGGAATGCTGTTAGGTGGGCTATACAGTAGCCAAACACCAATCATGTTATGTAGTCAACAAATTCACATTATTTTAAGTGCTAGACTACTAACTAAAAGGTTGGCAGTTCAAACCCACCCAGAGGTACCTCAGAAGTAAGGCCTGGCAATCTGCTTTCTAAAAAGTCATAGCCTTGAAAACCCTTTGGAGCAGTTCTTTTCTGCACAATGGGGTCACCATCAGGCAGAATTGACTCCATGGCAACAAACAACATTTTAAATATATATATATTTGTCTCTTTAGATTTAGCGGGTCATTTCAGCATGTCTTCTCTAAGTGGTTAATATGTGTCATGTGCCCTTGGGAGAGACACAAAAGTGAATGAGCCCAGGCTTCTGCACTGGGGGATGAGAGGAGAGCTTGATATGACCCTTCAAAGTACTGTAATTGAGCCACCTGGATATTAGGATGAGCTGTGCGCAGAGGGAGCTGTGTTTCCAGGCAAACTACCACATATGCCCAGAGAAGGGGCACCAACCAGGTTAGAAGTGAGGCTTAAAGGACAAGTAGTAGCTGGTCAGGAGAAAAATTGAGTGTGAAAGGAGAGGAGAGCTGTTATGGATTGAACTGTGTCCCCTAAAAATGTATGTCAACTTGGCTAGGCCATGATTCCCCATGTTGAGTGGTTGTCCACCATTTTGTGATCTGATGTGATTATCCTATTTGTTGTAAATCCTAACTTCTATGATGTTAATAAGGCAAGATTAGAAGCAGTTATCTTAATGAGGCAGGACTCTATCTACAGGATTAGGTTGTATTTTGAGTCAGTGTCTTTTGAGATATAAAAAAGAGAGAAGTGAGCAGAGAGGAGAAGGACCTCCTACCATCAAGAAATAGAGCTGGGAGCAGAGCGTGTCCTTTGGACCCAGGGTCCCTCCACTGAGAAGCTCCTAGACCAGAGGAAGATTGATGACAAGGACCTTCCCCCAGAGCTGACAGAGAGAGAAAGCTTTCCTCTAGAGCTGAAGCCCTGAATTCAGACTTCTAACCTCCTGGACTGAGAGACTAAATTTCTCTTGGTTAAAGCCGTCCTCTTGTGGTATTTCTGTTACAGCAGCACTAGATAACTAAGACAGGAGCATTCCAGGCCAGGGCTTTGGACCAGCTCATTCTGGTTCGAATCCCTGCTGAGAATTTGCCTTTCTGCCCCAGAAATACTGAATCAGAATCTATGTGTTACCAGGATCCCCAGGGAATCACCTATAAACCATGTTCTAGGCAGAGAAAATAGATTGAGCAAACGCTTAGGAAAAAAATAGCACAAGGTGTGCCTGTTTCGGGTGGAGTCGGCAGGTGTTTCAGATTCCTTGAGTTTAGGAAAAAAGAAGTAAGCAGGCCCCAGGGTGTCACGGGCCTCCTAGGCCAAGCTAGAGACCAGGAGATGGAGGGCTGTGGCCAGGGTTACGTGATTAGATTATCGCTCCACCAGCTACAGGTGGACAGTGGAGTAGGTGGGAGCGAGACTAGAGGCCAGGAGGCCACCTGGGGGCTGTTGCCAAGATTCAGAGGGGATGACATGACCTTGAACCAGGAGCATGCCAGTGGGATGATCGCGTGTGTCATCATCACATGGGATATCTATGAATAGCCGAAAGGAAAATTTATTTTATTCTTAGCCATATTGTGTAAGATCGTACTGTATTCTAAACAAGATCAGAAGTCATATGAAATCTACCCTTTCTTCTAACATTTTTAACCTTAGCATGTTTCTATTTTTAATTTATATCATAACAAAACTCTTCTAACTTTCCTTCAGAAGCAATCAGGAGTTTGGTTTCTTGGATCACTCTCCTCCCCCAACACACAATGTGTTGTCCAACTTGGAAGTCTGAAACGCTTTATAAATTCTAAGTCTATATCTTATATGGTATCTGAATGGCCAGTTGACATTTTTATGTCATAAGCTTGCTTTTTGTTACTGTCATAGTCCACTTGTCTGTAAATGCCTTCGTCTGCTTTCCAAATGCCATGACTTCTGCACTGATATTCACACTTGTGCTGCTTTGCTGGCAGTGACTTCAAGCCCTTTAGGTCTTAAAATACTTTTCTCTCTCCTCTCTACCCCTCAAAGAAGAAGCTTGTCTGGGGTCTGGCTTACTTAGGTGGTAGCTTCATTTCTTTTAAATTTGTGTAGATTTAGTGAATTATAAACCAAACCAAACAAAACCAGAAAAGAGTAAATCTGGCTTAATTTTAAAAGGGCTTCTGGAATCAGCTGGTTTTGAGAGAAACGATAGGTAGGCATGAATCGGCAAATAGTTTAAGGTAAACTATTAATAAAACACCACTGTGATATAATACAGAAAGGAAGGACTGATACCATTGCCTGTTTTAGATTATATGGCTCTAATTTATGTAGGATACAAGTCCTGGCCAGCCGTCAAGTTTGGGCTAAAAGCCATGGCAAAGAAACCAACAGCAACTTCAGCCAGTGGGATCATCTTGTATTGTGCTGGTAAACCATCACCGTTTGTTAATTGTAACTTGGAGCACCTTGTTTTCACAGTAATTAACTAGTATGTGATTTTTCATTTTCCTACCAAGTACCAGAGTCACTGTGTGTTTTCACAAAGCACAGTTGTTACAGAGGCATCATGCCTCGCTTAGGCTAACAAGCCTTTACCCTTCAGAAATCTAGCAAATATTTACAGCACTCTGCCTTTTCAGCATGTTCTTTGTGGAGGGGACAACGGGGCCCCCACCCCCCGAGACACAGGCTCTTCGAGGCATTTGCAGCCCTTCCTAGCATAACTGTGAGCGGCAGGATTTTTGGTTAATGGAGTAGCCCATCATGTCTGTGGCCCGTCTTGTGAGGGGAAGGGAAAGAAGTGAACATTTAGTGAGCATGGGTGCTGTGCGAGCTATTTTATATACATCAGCTCATTTGATAATGAGGCTCACCCTGCCAAGCAGAATGTGTTCAAAATGTATACATGCTTTCTTTTTTATCTGTATTATGTAAATAACCGGTGTTGAATTACTTAACGCTCTAAGTTTGGAACCCTCACCATAAAAGCGTGTCCTGGTTGATTTCTAAAGTTAATCTGAGGCAGGCTGTATTATAAATAGAGGAAGGGGGTAAATCATGACATGGATGGAAGGTTAAAAAAATTATCCCATATTTATACTTCTTGTTGTTGTGTGCTGTCGAGTCAATTCCAACTCATAGTGACCCTGCATTTGTACTTAGTGCTCAGAATTTGTTAGGGAAAAAAAAAAAACTCGGTTAAAGACTTCTGCTCAAAGGTTTTTCAGAGCAACGTTCAAGGACTATGGAGAAAAGTGACCTCTCTCTCCTCTCCTTCTTTCTTAGATACATTCCACCATTGATCTGGGGGAAAAGTGGACACATCCAGACAGCCTTGTATGGGAAGATGGGAAGGGTGAGGTCACCACACCCATACGGACAACGGAAGTTCATCACCATGGCTGATGGAGCCACTTCTACCTTCGACCTCTTTGAGCCGTTGGCGGAGCACTGCGTTGGAGGTGAGCTAGTTTAGGGCGCCTGATTGGGCCAGCACTCAGAAGGAGGACTGGCTAAGGAGGGAACACAGTATAAGTGCACATGCCACCAGCTCTATATATTGCATCGCGGGGCTGTTAGGAAATCAGCTGAGATACGTCACTTGGGAGCAACCTGCAGGGATTAGCTCCAACATGAGCTTGCAAGGCACTTTGTAAAGCTCTTAAGATAGCAGTGTTGATTGCAATTATTTTAATCCTCTTCAGGTAAGGAGATAAGGGAGAGCTTAGGATCCAGGCCCTCCCATGCTTTTGTGGATAACAGCAACAGAAGTCTGGACTGTTCTCCGTGCTTTATATATACTATTATCTCATTTAATCCTCACACCAACCCTGTGAAATAGATGCTACTGTCATCTCCACTTGACTGACAATGAAGCTGAAGCTTAGCTAGGCAGGGGAGGTTGGTTTTGTTAGTTAACAGTAGGTAACAAAGGCTCTAAGAAGTCCTCAGCTCAGGTTTCCATGGACAAAAAAAAATGCATTGAGGTCATATTTATCATGCAAGGGTCTGGGACATCTACTTCTCAGAAACAATAGCTCCAGTTTCCATTGCTGCTGGATTTGGGCATTCCTCTATCCAGCCTTCACAATACCCATTTACCCGATACCACTGAGTCGATTCGGACTCATGGCGACCCTACAGGACAGAGTAGAACTGCCCCACAGGGTTTCCAAGGCCCTAATTCAGAAACAGATTGCCTCATCTTTCTCCCGCAGAACGGCTGGTGGGTTCGAACCTCCGACCTCTGGTTAGCAGCCGAGTGTTTAACCACTGCACCAACAGTGCTCCTTAGCTTACACTGTAAACACTCGTAAAATGCTAGATAATGGGGACTTTTGAGGAACTGGAGTTCAGTGACAGCATCCTTTTGAATGTCTCTTCTACCAGAAGAGAAGCATGTCTTTTAAATTCCATAGTATTCAAAGGTATCTAGATTTTTGTTTAAGAGCTCAGTAAATATTTATGGATAAATTCCAGTGAACATATTACAACTCTCAGTTATTTAAACTGTGCTGAGTAGCTAGTGACAAAGTTTTAATTTATGTTCCCTCTGCCTGGAATGCTTTTCCCCAGACGTTCACATGGCTGCCTTCTTGTTGTTAATTCAGGCTGCGGCTCAGCTGTCACCTCCCCATAGGGACCGTCCTTGACTACCCTACCTTGTGTTTGCTTCCCAGTAAACCCATTACGCCATCCAGCTTTATTTCTTCATGCTAACTATTGCTCTTTAAACCTATTTGTGTAATTGTTTATTATCTGTTTACTAGAATATAAAAACCCCAGAGTCCAGGAAGAGGCTTCCAATAAACAGTCACAGAAGGAATGGATAGATTCAAAGTTTGGAAGTTCACACTGTGTTTATAAATCTTATAACTGGTCTTTCAAATATTTATTTCTCTAATATACCCAGTGTCTTAGTTATCTAGTGCTGCTATAACAGAAATACCACAAGTGGTTGGCTTTAACAAACAGAAATTTATTTTCTCAGTTTATTGTTTTTAGGTGCCATCAAGTCGGTTCCGACTCATAACGACTCTTTACGTACAATAGAATGAAACACTGCTTGGTTCTGCGCCATCCTCACAATTGTTATTATGCTTAAGCCCATTGTTGCAGCCACTGTGTCAGTCCATCTCCTTGAGGGTCTTCCTCTCTTTTGCTGACCCTCTACTCTACCAAGCATGATGTCCTTCTCCAGGGACTAGTCTCTCCTGGTAACATGTCCAAAGTATGTGAGACAGAGTCTCGCTGTCCTCACTTCTAATGAGCATTCTGGCCATATGTCTTCCCAGACAGATTTGTTCATTCTCCTAGCAGTCCATGGTATATTCAATATTCTTCACCAACACCATAATTCGAGGGCGTCGGTTCTTCTTTGGTCTTCCTTATTCATTGTCCAGCTTTCACATGCATATGAGATGATTGAAAACACCATGCCTTGGGTCAGGTGCACCTTAGTCCTTAGAGTGACATCTTTGTTTTTTTAACACTTTAAAGAGATCTTTTGCAGCAGCTAGAAGTCCGAATTCAGGGTGCTGGCTCCAGGGAAAAGCTTTCTCTCTGTGTCGTCTTTGGAGGAAGGTCCTTGTCTCTTCAGCTTCTGTTTCCTGGTTCCTTGGAGATCTCCATGTGACTTGGCATCTATCTTCCCTTCCCTTGACTTGCTTAGTCTGCTCCTTTTATATTTTGTAGGAGATTGACTGAAAACACACCCTACACTAATCCTGCCTCGTTAACATAAAAAAGACAACCCATTCCCAAATGGGATTGTAACCACAAGCATACAGGTTAAGATTTACAACACATATTTTGGGGGGGACACAATTAATCCATAACACTCATTAAATTTTTTTTCTCTTATTTTGAATGCTTTTACTTCTTCCACAATTAAAACACAAAATTTAATTTGGCCATCTCCCTTCTTGGAAATAGGACCAGAGTGAGAAACTGGAAAACATCAAAACTTTGATTCTCTGTTGTACTTGCTCATGTCTTTCTGTTGCCTCCACCCCTTCCCAACCTCCAACACTGACCCAACCTACACTGCAGAAAAGTGAATGAAGATGGTTCTGGGGAGGGCAGTTTTTTTGTTTTTAAACAAATATTTATTGAGGACCTGCTATGTGCCAGGCACAACCATAGATACTGGGATGAACACTAACGGTAAAAACAAAACCTCTTGCCTCGTGTGGCTTACATTCCAGTGGTCAGTGTACCCAGGCCACCATGACAGGTTTTCATGCAAGGGTTGGGGTCGCTTTTTCTCTTGGAAGCCCTGGCTTTTTTCTCTCTTTTTTTTTTTTTGGTGCGTTAGGTAAAAGTTTACAAAACAACGTAGATTCCTGTTAATAATTTGTACATGAAGCGTTTCGTGGCCTTCGTTTCATTACCCACAACGTGTCAGCACTTTCCTCATTTCCGTCCTGGGTTCCCCATTTCCTTTTGTCCTGATTTTCTACCATTTCCTGCCTTCTCATCTTTGGTTTTGAGCAAATGTCCTTTTGATCTTGTATAATTGATTGTTCTAAGGAGCACATTCCTCTCGGGTGTTATTGTTTATTTTTTGGGCCTGTCTATTGTTTGGCTGAAATGTGGTCTCCAGGAATGGCTTCAGTTCCAGGTCAGAAGGTGTCTTAGGGCTGTAGTCTCATGGGTTCCTCCAGTCTTTGTCAGGCCAGTAGGTCTGGTCTTTTTTGTGAATTTGATTTTTCGTTCTACATTTTTCTCCTGGTCTGTCCAGGAGGGAAGACAGTATTTACATTCAAGAAAAATGCACTGAGAAAAGCAGCCATTTTTTCCCTTTTACTTTTTTTTCCCTGACTACAAAAGAATTAAGTACTCCTTTTAGAAAATTTGGAAAATACAGAAACATTTAAAGAAGAAAATAAGAATCACCCATAATCCCACTACCCAACATACCATTGTTAACATTTTCTTTCATTTCCTTCCAGTTCTATGCATTGTTTGTCTAAAATTTGAATTAATGTGTATACTATTGTAAATTATGTTTTTAGAAGTCTAAAAATCTTCAAAATCATAATTGTAATGATTGCTTAATATTCTGTGATGTGTTAAATACTATAATTTAACCATTCTTCTATTGATGGATGGAGTCCCTGGGTGGCTCAGCTGCTAACGGAAAGGCTGAAGGTTTGAATCTACCCAGAGACACCTCAGAAGAGAGGCTTGGTGATCTCCTTCCCAAAAACCAGCCATTGAAAACCCTATGGAGCACAGTTCTACTCTGACACACATGGGGTCGCCATGACTTGAAGTCGACTCAGTAGCAACTGGTTGGTTATTGTTTACATTTTTGTCACTATAAATAATTCTGTGATGAGCATCCTTAATCATAAAATTTTAGGCAAGATTTCAAGAATTGGAATTACTTGTCAAAATTTATAAACTTGTAAAGGCTCCTTATGCATATTGTAAAGTTGCTTACTAATTCGCATATCCTTACCAGCATTAAGAATTTTTTCATTGTTTTTATCTTAACTTTTGGAAGGGAAATTAATGATCAGATTTAATAACCTAAATACTACTTTTCTTTTAAAGAAAAATATGTATTCGTATTTTTGAATAGGGTAATTCATGCCCTTGATAGAAAATTCACAAAGCACTAAAGAATATACAGTGAAAGTGTAAATCCTTCTCCCACCTCTGTTCTGCACCAAGGCCCCTCCCCACTGGGACCAACTCTTAAATTTCTTGTGTATCCTTCCAGAGCTAGTGGACGCATTTATAAACCTATTGTTGTTAGTTGTTGTCAAGTTGATCCCAACTCATGGCAACCCTGAGTGTTTCAGAGTAGAACTGCTCCATAGGGTTTTCTTGGCTATAATCTTAACGGAAGGAGATCATCAGGCCTTTTCTTCTGAAGCACCACTGGATGGGTTCAAACCACCAACCTTTAGATCAGCAGTTGAGCACAAACAGTTTGTACCTCCTAGGGACCTTATTTATAAAGCTAGGTATCTGTTTTCCTCTACACAAATGGTAGCATATCATAACTCTTCTACCCTTTGCTTTTTTTTTTTTTCACTTAATATATGTTGGAGAGTTTGCCATACCAGTTTTTTTGTTTTTGTTTTTTAATATTATTGTTGTTGTTGAGAATCTACGCAGTAAAACATACACCAGTTCAACAATTTCTACATGTACAGTTCAGTGACATTAATTACATTCTTCAAGTTGTGCAACCATCCCCACCCTCCTTTCCTGAGTTGTTCCTCCCCCATTAACATGAACTCACTGCTCCCCAAATCTCCTATCTAATCTTTTGAGTTGCTGTTGTCAGTGTGATCCCATGAGGATAGATCTTGAAAGAGTACAATGCTCAAGGCAGACATTTTTTACTAGTTAAGCTAGACTATTGTTTGGTTTTAAGAAGACTTCAAGGGATGTTTTCGGTTTAAGGTTTGGAGATTATCTCAGGGCATTAGTTTCAAGGGTTCATCCACCCTCCGTGGCTCCAGAAAGTATAGAGTCCATGAGAATTTTAAATTCTGTTCTATATTTTCCCCCTTTTGATCAGGATTTTTCTATGGAAACTTCGATCAAAATGTTCAGTAATGGTAACTGGGCACCATCCAGTTCTTCTGGTCTTGTGGCAAAGGAGGCCATTGTTTGTGGAGGGAATTAGCCACCATTCCATATCCTTCTCCTATTCCTGACTCTTCTTCTTCCTCTGTTGCTCCAGGCAAATAGAGACCTTGTGCCTTGGGTGACTGCTTGTAAGCTTTTAAGACCGCAGGCACTATGCATATCATTTTATATGAAGATGTCTCATTATTTTTAAGGACTACATAACATTTCATCATTTGGATATGCAATAATTTACTTAGCCAGATGCCTATTTCTGTACATTTAGGTTGTGTTCAATCTTTTGTCATTACAGTCTATCCTGGCAAAAGGTTGAACACAAGTATATCTGTAGGATATCTGTATATCTGTACAAGTATATCTGTAGGATAAATACCTGAAAGTAAAATTGCTGTGCAAAAGAATCTGTGCAAAAACTACTTTTCCTTTTTTTTCACTCATACATTCACTCAGCAAGCATTTACCACCAGTTATGTGTCAGAAAGGAGTTCCTGGATGGAGGTTTGAGTCCACCCAGAGGCACCTTGAAAGAAAGGCCTGGCAATCTACTTTCCAAAAATCAGCCTCTGAAAACCCTATGGAGCACAGTTCTACTCTGACATGCGTGGGGTCACCATGAGTCGGAGTGGACTTGACAGCAACTGGATACGTGTCAAACGGTACTAGGAGCTAAGGATACAAAGAAGTATCTTTTCTACTTGCGCTTTCAGGAAAAGGCTAGAAATCCTTAATTAATCCCAGGTTGGAACTCTGCAGACCAGTGCTTCTCAAAGTGTAGTCCACAGCCCAGTGCTGGTCCATGAATCGTTTGTTATGTTTGTAATGAGACAAGAACAGAAACTGAAAGTAATGTTGGGAAATTGTATAGCAGTTCAACAAAGTAATTTTATGTCTGTTGAATCTAATAATTAAAAAACTGAGGCTTATACTTTTTTTCATTTATTTTTCTAGTAATGAGTTTTTATTGTGTTTGTCAAAAATATCTGTCCATCAGCCCCATAAAACCAAATGGGACTAATGAGGTACAATAGTCCAGTGACAAGGGCCAGACGGCAGAAGGGGACAAGGAAGCTGGTGATAGGGAACCCAGGGTTGAGTAAGGATATTGTTGATGTGTTGTGAGATTGTTAACCATTGTCATAGGGCAGCATGTGTAGTAACTGTTAAATGAGAAACTATTTTGTTCTGTAAGCCTTCATCTTAAGTGAGAATAGCAGCACAACTGGAAGAGCATAGTCGATATCACTGAACTGTGCATGTAGAATTTTGAAATGGTGTATCTTTGGCTATGTGTATTTTCACCAAAAAGAAAAAGGTTGAGAAGTTAGAGGGTTGACATGTTGTGGGGTTGTTAACCAATGTCATAAAACAATATGTGTACTGCTGTTTCATGAGAAACTATTTGTTCTGTAAGCCTTCACCTGAAGTACAATAAAAAAAATAAAAAATTAAAATATCTGTCCATGATGGGTACGAAATTTTAAAAACCAGCCCTTCACCATAGTTTGAAAAGCATTGATACAGACAGCTCCAGCTAGAAGAGACAGATCATGTTTCCCAGAGAATTGAGTGGAGAGATACATGTTAAGTTCTCTCCTCCCATTTTCTAAGTCAGTGAAGTGTAATTGTGTCCATTATCATGTCTCCATTTATTGGATTCATTGGGTTCGATTTCTCCATCCTGTAGATGACGTCACCATGGTCATCTGCCCTGGAATCGCCAATCACAGTGAGAAGCAGTACATCCGCACCTTCGTCGACTACGCCCAGAAAAATGGCTATCGGTGTGCCGTGTTGAACCACCTAGGTGCCCTGCCCAACATTGAACTGACCTCGCCACGCATGTTCACCTACGGTAAGCACTGGGCATGGCCAAGTGGATGGAGTCCCTCCTTTTTCTGGTTCTCGCTGCTGCAAGTGCACTGCTTCTTCTGCTTCTGCCTTATTTTTAAGTTTAGAATGTAGGCACTGTCTACAAGAGCAAGCAGAGACTAGTGGGGCAGGAGAGATGGCGGGGCATATGCTATGACAACAGCCAACCTGTATTGGGCATTCATGATGCCAGGCCTCACATCAGCCTTTCCATCTCATAGAGGCAGAAACTGAAGCTCACAGGAGAAGGTATTTCCCAAGGTCCCCAGCTCATAAGTGTCAGAGCAGGGCTGGGAGCCAAGTAGATTGGGCAGCTTGGCTTACTCCTTTTACTGCTCTGCCATCCTGATGCTCATTCCTTGGGACTCTAGTGACAGGGTGGTGATGAGGCAAGTGAATGTCAGCAGGAAGGGAACCTGACACATTTGCAACTCATTGGATTTCAAGTTCCTTGAGAACAGGAACTGGACCTCATAATTAGAGACATGCTTTCTGACTATAATTGAAGCCCTGCAGTAGCTGAGGCTCTGTCTTCTGGACTGCTTACTCATTCCTGGTTCCATTTTATCTCTCCCTTCAGATTATATATGCACACATAAATTATGAACACATAAAATATTTCTAAATATGCACAAACATTTGGGATGTCTATGACCAAATATATTGTAATATGTTTTAATGGGAAACAGCCTACGTTGTATCTATAATCTCACCCTAACTGTAATGTTTTATTTCTTCATTTCATCCTTCCATTCTGTCTTTATCTATGTGTACATGTTTTTATTTAGTTGGCAGTCACCGTGTATATATCTATGGTGGCTTATTTAACATAAAGATGTGTGGTCATTATATTTAATCTTTTTAAGAGCCACATTGCTGCTGTCACTCTGTTATAGTTTATTTAACCATTTCTCTTTGTAGGGCATTGAGGGTATTTAGAGTTTTTCAGTATTTTGAATAATGATGCTGTAAATATCTTGTACATAGAATTTTTTTTCTTCTCTTTAATGACATCTTTGGAGTAAATTTCCAGGAATGGGTTATGAAGTTGACATTTTTTTGTGCTCTTGACGCATGTTATCAGATGGTCCTCCAGCAAGGTTACCCCAGTTCACGCTGCCATTTATAAGCGAGTAAGGGTGTTGTGTCCTGCAGGGACAAGGTGGGGTGTAACAGGTGCTCGGTGCCAGGTGTAGTGTAGTGTTTCAAGTCCATTTCATCCTTTGCATTCACTGCCACCCTCCAAAGACACCCACTTTACAGCCGATTCAACAGCAATTAATACCTATTCTATTCAACAGTGTAGTCGGTGGCTTTAAGATATAGGTGAATGTTTAGATTTATAGATGACACAGACACACAGGGAATAGTAAATCCAGAATTGGATCCAAAAGGCAGAAACAGGTAGGATCTAACAAAGGTGGAAGTGATGGAGAATAATGATAAAATCCTGCACTTGGACATAAAAATCCATCTGTACAAGTAGAGAATGAGGAGGCATGGCTTGGCTGCAGGGCATGGGACAGAGACTTAGGGATACTATCTGACAGTACGACGTGCCGACAACAAGACCAGAAATGCCAGCGAGGGCACTTTCTGTGTGCCAGGCGCAGTGCTGCTGTCTTACCTGAGCACAGTTATCCCTTTCATCTCCATGGCAAGCCCACAAGACAGGTAGCAACGTTCTCGTGAAAAACGGAGGCACAAAGAAGTAATTGGAGCAAGAGCATAGAGCCAGTAAGTAGGAGAGCTAAAATCGGAGTCTGTGTCTGGCTGCCCCAGCCTCCAGTATCATCTCAGAACTAATAGAACAGCCAGATCTCCCCAACCCAAGAGAGCTGTGCTGTAGACCAGGGACACAGGAGGCTAGATTGGGAGACATCACCGCACCAGGTCAGGGAAGTCTCGTGGTCAAGGGAACAGAGAAGAGTAGGCTCAGCACGGGACATGATCAGAGGGCAGCTAGGTCAGAAGGCAGCCTCAGGAACCAGCATTGCCTCACCAGCTGTGTAGCCTTGAGCAGCTTGCTGACCCTGAGTTCCAGATTCTTAGCTGTAAAGGGGTTCCAGTGAAACGTGGGTGACTAAGGGCTTTGTAGGCAGTTCGTGCCTAACATGTAGTAAACATTTATTAAATGTTAGGGTTATTTTTATTCAAATATTTGAAGGTCTATTAATGCTAACAAGAGATTGGCTGTGCTGTGCGTGGCCCAGATAAAGAAGTGCTATGCAGGGGGAGACAGGGATATCCAAAAAAATTACAACACAGGGTGGCGAGCGCACTCAGAGAGGGTGTGGTGAGTGTGCTGTGGCACCATGGAGACCAGCCTGACTGCTAAGGGAGGAGTTGAGTTGAGGAGGAAGGATTCTCTAAGGAAAAGCATTTGAACTGGGTCCTCAGTGGTGAGGATGGGTTAGAGCTCATAAACGAGAGGGGGGTGGGCTATAGGGACGACGATCCAGGCCGAATGACATGTGCAGCTACCTCTAAGCATGTTGCATTTGGAGACTGACAGGATTTGGGCTGGAGAGCTGGCCCTGGGCATGGAAGATTCATGGGGATTAGTGAGTCCATCTGGGGAGAGCTTCAGCCCTCAAAGTTTTAAAAGTAATTCACCTGTTTCCTTTTATTGTTGTTACATTTTGCTTCATCAGAATTTTAGAAGTAAATTCCTGTAGTTTGTTATGTTGTTGTTGGTTGCCATCCAGTCGGCTCCAACTCATGGCAGCAGAACGAAACGTTGCCTGGTCCTGTGCCATCTTTTGTTGGTATGCTTAAGTCCATTGTTGCAGCCACTGTGTATTTTGAGTGCTCTCCAAACTAGGGGCTCATCTTCAGCACTATACCAGATAGTATTCTGTTGTGATCCATAGGGTTTTCATTAGCTAGATTTCTGACGTAAGTCACCAGGCCTTTCTTCCTAGTCTTAGTCTGGAAGCTCTGCTGAAACCTGTCCACCATAGGTGGCCCTGCTGGTATTTGGAATATCAGTGGCATAGCTTCCAGCATCATAGCAACAAGCAAGCCACCACAGTACAACAAAGTGACTGACAAGTGGTGGTTTTAAATTATAGTTTATGTATTATATATATATATATATATATATATATATGTATATAGTCAAATCCTGATCCAAATCAGGCCCATATACACCCACTCTTCATTTATCCACATGGTTAGGTTCCAAAGACCAGGTCGTTATGTGAAAATAGGCATTATGCGAAAATTGAGGGTGATCACATCAGATCACAAAATGGAGGATGACTACATCATTACATAACTGCCAAACCACTGAGAATCACAGCCCAGCCAAGTTGACACATAACCTTAACCATCACAGCCTGGCATTTGTTACTGTCAGACTTACATCATTAATGCACCTAATAGTCAGATAGTAAATGTTTTGCTATTGTTGTAAATGTGAAATGTCGGATAACGAAGTGTTAATAAGTGAGGAATGGGTGTTTTGTAATTGTATGATAGGTTTCTTAAGCCTGTTTTAATCAGCTCTTCACTTTTAATAGGCCCGCAACCAAGTCTGCCTTCTCCACACGGGCTGACTGAGGGAAACATTCATGGGCTCTCTGGATCCCCAGGACATGCCACAGGCGCCATGGGCTCATATACCCCAAGTCTATGTGAGCACCAGGCACAGCACGGGCGGCCATCTAGTTGCAGAGGTACCCCAGGGCCTGCTAACCTCTGGGCAGCCCGAGTTCTGTTTGGAAGGCTCTTCTGTGGTCTTTATTTGGCTTCTCCTTGTTGTTTGGGTCTGGACCAAGACGTCACCTTCTCAGAGGGCCTTTCCCTGACTCCCCTCCTCCATCTAATGTTGTCCACCCATCCCCCATCATTCTCAATCGAATCTTCCTGTTTATATCCTTGAAGGCTTTTACAATTTGATGAAATTATGTAATTGTTTACATGTTTAGTATCTGTCTCTACATTGCAAAAATCCACTCCATTCCCTGTTGTAGCTCCCCAATGCCTAGAATCCTGCTTGGCCCATAGAAATTGCTCACTGTGTCAGTGTTTACAGAATACTGACTGAATGAGGACCAAGGTGACAGGTGTGAGGTGACAGTTTGCAGATATAAGGTGATACTTTACAAACCAGCGTGTGTCAGATGGGTGACCCTTATGGCTGTGTGAGTTCTCCCTGTGTAAACCACCTCACTCTTGAGCAGCTGTCAGGCTTCCAGGCACCCTGAAGACCCTTTTGGCCTCTTGAAGCTGTGATCTTGACCAGAAGAAAACTAAAAGGATGTTAACTTGAAGCCCTGTATCCTTCCTTGCCTGGCACACAGTCCCCTCAGAGTTCTCTTTCTGAAAGGGTTATAAAAGTTATTTTTCCATTGATCAAACCAACTGCTTCAAACTGTGTAAGCATTAATCTCTTATTATTGGACATCTTCTCAGATATCACTAGAAATTGTTAAAAACAGATCTCTCCTGAACAGAAGAGATAATTATGTATTCTTGTGATTTAAAAACCTTCATGTTGCCTTTGAAAGGTAAATTCATTAAGGAAAATCCTGCATGACAGTACCTGTTGCCCCCAAGTCGATTCTGACTCATAGCGACCCTATAGGACAGAGTAGAACTGCCCCATAGAGTTTCCAAGGAGTGCCTGGTGGATTTGAATTGCCGACCTTTTGGTTAGCAGCCGTAGCACTTAACCACTACGCCACCAGTGTTTCCTGCATGACAGTAGTTACCGTTTATTTAGCATTAACACGTGCCAGGCTTGCTGCTGAGTGTTTACATGTATAATTTCTTTTGATCGTCACCACCTGGGAGATAGGTATGAGTATCCCCACTTTATAGATGAGGAGGTTGAGGCTAAGAGAGGTTAAGTACCTATCTTAGTTATCTAGTACTGCTGTAACAGAAATACAAGTGGATGGCTTTAACAAACAGTTTAGGAGTCTGGAAGTCTGAATTCAGGGTGCCAGCTCCAAGGAAGGCTTTCTCTCTTTGTCG